AAATCTGTCTCAGACAGATGGTTTCCACATTTGATGGAGATACTTCTGCCCTTTGTAGCTCCACAGCTTTCTTGCAGTCATTCTCTACAACTCCATATTGGTCCCTAGCCCCTGACCAAGCCAGCTCATCCCTTTCTTCAGCCTATGACTTCGAGGCCAGCTCTTTAGGGAGGCTGGRTATTACAGGTGATGTTCAGTCCATGGATCGGAGGGAAAGATGAAAGATAACTTCAGATGCTCTTCTTCATTCCCAAACCAACCCAAACCCTGGAGCTTTCCGCATACCGTGTGACTCATAATTGGCTCCCAGGAGCTGGTAATACTAAGTTCACTGGAGACCAAAGAATAGGGAATATTACAGAAGAAGGTTGGGTCCATGAAGCAAAAATACAGAAAGGAAACATTAAGTGTTGCAATACCAAAGTATTCCTGATTAGCCACTCTGTCTTTCTGGTTGAATTTCAGTGGAGAGTCATCACGTGAACGGAGTGGCTCCTACCTAATGCAACAAAACAGGAGCCTCATAGCTCAGCGCAGGCGAGTGCCGCGCTCTGGTTTTGCTCAGGTTGTGGGGGAGCTTCCATGAGGACCCCAGTGTCCTAGTTTGAAATATGACTGTAGTGATGAGTTGAGCACCCATGTTTATAGGCTCCCTGGGGCAGGCTGTCTCATCACCTCCGCATGACAACAGCTAGCCCAATAAAGCGCTCATCCTGACTGCCTTTTTTTTTTTTTTTTTTTTTTTTTCTGTTTGGTTCCTACAGTAATAGTAAGGATTAACAGTAATTATAAGAGCAATAGGAGTGTCCCATGATGCTAGTGGATGGGGGAATTCCACTACCTGCATCTGCACCTGCGCCTAGCGCTAGTTACCAGGCCAAACAAATACAATGCGGCCGGTAACTTTTTCCTAGATTCCGTTTCTGGAACGTGGGTTAGCTAAGCTGGTTCCAGGTGAATTGTTGTTTACTCCATCATCCCCAATGACACATTCCTCGTGTCGAGGGTGCCCCAGCTCTTAATGCCCTGTCCTGATGGCAACGTGTGGCCAATGTGAAGTGGACAGTCTGAGTCACAGGGCAAAACAGGGAGTCTGTGGCAGGCTGAAGTCCCAGTGGCAGGACAGGACCGGAAGCATAGGACAAAAAGAAGACCACAGACAAAGCACAACAACTCCTCTGGGGCTTAGAGGTCCATACCTCAGGCTTTCCTTCTCCCCCTTACCTGCTTTCATCCTTTTACCCCTGCAGCAGTTAAGGAATGCACAATGTTCCTGTCAAGAAAAGCCAAAGGCTTTGAGGGCACCTCAGCTGAAGGCTGAATAACAGCTCAGCTGACTGCCTGCATTCCTAGCTGGAGAAGTTAAGGAGGCAGAGAGCTGTGCCGAGCACATGGAAGCTGTTTAGTATGGGCCTTACAATGCTGCCTGTAGTTCAGTCCAGGGCAGGTTATTTCCTTTCTCTCTGATGATGGCAAAGAAGACTCATGTACCAAGTATTTTCTCCTTGTCTTCTCCATTCTAGTGCCAGCTGTTCAGATCCAAGGTAGAGGAGAGAGAAGGAAAACAGTGGTGGAAAGCTCACAAAGAGAACAGTGGTGCATAACCCACAACCACAACTGACCACAGTGCTGAAAGCCCAACAGAAGCAGGTCAGTGTCCCCTGAGTCATGTCAGTCCCTGCTGTGGTGGTTCCTGCCATCATTTTACTGTCTTGAGGTGGATGTTGCTCTCGGCGCAGAGCTGCTTAGCAGAAGCAGCACATGGTCAGCAAACAGGATTACACCTTTATGTACCAATTAGTTTGCTTGCTGTTAAAATGCATTCAGGTATTGAAAAGGTAATTCAGAAAGATAACTGTGTGTTTATAGGAGGCATTACTGTATGTAGGCACTAAATTAGATTTTTGAGACCAAAGGAAGGGAGGAAACATGTGAAAACACCTGAATGGACCCTAGCTTAATTCCTGCTCAAATCAGTCAACTCCATGCATCTTACCTGTGGGGGATCTACTCTGAGATCAGAGCTGTGCGGATGCTCCAGCTCTAGTGGTTGTATTGGCCACCTGTCAGGCAGTGTAGAGCGTGATGCTCGCAGCTGTAAGCGTGATGAACCTTCATGGAGGGCAGTCGTCATCATATTTACATGTGGTTATGTCTTCCTGTGGTTAAAATGCGGGTGCCTGGAGAAATGCAGTCCAGAGACAGCATAGGGCCACGTTTATGGAAGGCCATTTCAGCCCGTGCAATCTCAGATCAGTGCAAAATGCTGTACAGGAAATTAATTTATGAGGTCTGAAGACTTATTGACAAACAGGACCAAACAAGAGACTGACAATCCAAGGTCTGGTGTTCTTTTGCCAGCTTTGCTTGCCACCTGCTGTGGGTAAAGCCAATTTTCATTCACTCTGGTCTCTCTCAGCAAATAAATCATTTGGAGGAAGGAGAGGCAATTGCTAGACATACGAGCAGTGATACAGGAGGGACATAGTCTGAGAACACCTTTTACAGGTATTCCAAAAAAAATGTTTGCCCAGGTTCATTAAGCAGTAGGTAAAGGCAGAAGTCTCGGAAAAGCTGAACAAATGCAAAAACGTACAAAACCCCTTGGAGGCTGGGAAATCATTCCTCATGGAGCACCGAGGTGTAATTAGGAAAGGGAAAACACCAGCCGAGCATTACAAAGGTTTTTGTGCCAGCAACATGTGTTGGGCCATTCAGGAGTTGCCCAGGGGAGAGTAATGGAAATTTCATACCAGCCAGCAGAATGAAGCTTTAAAACTGCCCTGTAGGCAGCAATGCAGCACGAACTGTCAGATCTGTCTTCCTTTTCACTCCCATCTTGGAAATTAGGCCCTTTTCTGTTTGAAATGCCACTTAATGTCAAACCAGTAAATTGGCTGAGAAATCAGTTTGTTTTTGTTTGTTTTTAACAGCAAAAGACCGGTGTTGTTTTCTCTTTATCCTTCATTTACAGGAGGAGGTCAGCCAGTTTGAGCCTTGGGGAAGCATTTTTAACTCTCATAGTTTACAGTAAAGCCTGGTTGTTGCAGAACATTGGGCCTAATTCATTTCTTGGGTATGTGGCAAAAATGAATCTGACCTCTATGTGGTAGAAGTTTGGCACTTCTTCCGTTCTCTCTAGACTAACACATCGAAGCATACCAGCTAGACATACTCCCTTCTTAGGACATTTGTGGTCATGTGCAGGTCCGGTGCTCTTTGCCATTTAGGACTTAATACTGACATTCCATAACTCAAATGAAAATGTTGTCTAATGTTTTGCAGTCTGCTCAGCCTACCCATCTTTCAGGAAAACTTTTGAGGATCTCAGATATCCTACAGCGAATGAAGATTTGACTTAAACATTTGCTGAAGTAGGTATTTGTGCTGTTTGAAAAATGTGGCAGGTTTTCCAGGAATGCATGAATATGTTACTTTTTGTTAGTTCTGTATATGTGTGTGAGAAGTCTGTGAAATCCTAGGTAGGATTTTGTTCCAGGTTTCAATTTACTTTCTAACAAGAGGGTTGATTTTGGAAATAGATGCTGTTTCTTAACAGACAAAAAAAAAAAAAAAAAAAAAGAAGCTTCATCCTCAAAGTACTCAAAACTAGATACAAGCCCTACAGAAGTCAGCTGAAGTAGTAGGCACCTGATTTTGATAGATTTGGGCTTTTTTTAATGCATACATAAAGTGATAATTCATTACTATGAATGCAGCTGCATTCTTTCATGGGAAATCACTCTGAGGTAAAGTGTGCTCAAGCACCAAAAACTGTACATTCTTCCCGCATTTTCCTGCCTAAATTGGAAATGGTATTTTATTCATATGAAATCCTCTATGCTGTCAATGATCATTTTTATCCATGATGTTGATAAAAAACAAATCCAGTCAATAATTTGAAATTTTCACTGCTTAGAATCTCTGCTCTCTGGAAAGAATGCCCTTCTGACATTAATAGGCTTTTAAGCATAAAATGATCCTGACTTGAGGCCATTTACATTTTAAATAGAGGTATTCTTTAAAAATGCTCATTAAACGATCACAAGTTACAGCGAGTCTTTCATGCAGATTCTTAAGCTATTTGCAAATATCTTTATCACACACTATAAAGAAGAACATGAAATGTCAGAGTACTTTAGGGGCTACAAGCTGATGATAATTGCTATAAATCCATCATTAACTTCACTTGGGCGTGCCAGTTTACCCCAGCTAAAATTCAGGCCAGTAGCAGAAATCCACCCAGGCTGCTCTATTGCCCAATCAGTGCTACTTTTCAGCATTGTGCAGACATGTCATTCCATACTCAGACCTGTGGGATGCAATGAATCTGACTTACTATGAATCCGTCGGTGCAGGAAGGTACTACTCATAAATAGCCACTTGGAAAATTGGCCCTTAAAATGTGTATCAGCCCTGTTCAAAGAGGCAACCTCCATGTGGAGGAGAGGGAAAGGATGGTGACATCTCTAAGCGGGGAAGCCTGCTGAGAGATGCTATGCGTGAGAGCAAGGAAATCACGCAAAGATGAAGCAAAGATGCTTAAAAGATAATTGCTTTCCATACATTTCACATCTGACAGAGGAAATTCCAATGAATTGATCCAACTGTGTCAAGAGTTACATGGTGTCTGGATATCGGTACAAGACTGTAATTAACTGCTTTCTTTCAGAGGATAAATCATGCAGGAATTTAAGGGTGAAATCGGTGATGATGTCAGTGTGTGGAAGTTTTAGAGTGATGCTGCTTTTGTGGCATCCTGAAAAATCCCAGCTTTCAGAAATGCTTTTCCAGACATTGCAGATACTTTTTTTGCCCATTGCGATCCCTGAAAAAGCTGATGATAAAGTTCTTAAAAAGGGATGCTACTAGTACTAGCACAGAAGTGTGATCTTTATCACACTTCTTGCCAGCTCTCTTACCAGTTTGATAACTGACGGCTGTGTTCAGATACAATTCCACAGGAACACTGATTTTTCCATTTCTCTGTCCTTTTGTAGGACCTCTTTGCCTAAGAAAATTTCTCTGAAATAAGGCGGAGTCTGATTTGTAAGTATCACATCTATTCCAAAACTCCCAGACTTAATATGATTTTTACCTTGGACCAGCAGTCTGAACATGAAAATATGGCAAACTGTCATATTCTGCGCTATCTTCCATAATTAATCTTTTTGTATCGATAGCCCCATATAAAATGGAGAAACTAGGGATACTTGAGTCATGAGCTATTAAACGGCACTTAGCTAATGCATTCCTTAGACAGCAAGATAGGCTTATCACTTCTGCAGTACATCGGTTATCTCCTTTCCTGACGATGGAGAAGGGCAAAGCAGACCAAGAAGGGATTTTTTGTTTGTTTGGGTTTTTTTTTCATTGTTTCGTTTTGTTTTATTTATTTTGCTTTAAAGGAGACACAAAAATAGCCACTATTTTGAATAGCTTGTTCAGATAGAAGAATTATCTGTCTCAGGAAAATTCCTAAAGTTGGGATTTAGGGGTGGTGGTATCCCTCGAACACCAGATTAARGGATAGAAGCCGGGGCAGGACAAGGCCTTGCCCAGTGCAGTAGCAGAGCACATACATTTCAGCAAGATTCATGAAAGAAATAAAAACATGCAGTGGGAATAAGTAGACGAGTGAGTAGGTAACTAAAGGAACTGGTGGTAYGAATAGCAGCCTGGGCTGCCATGAAGCCCAGGACAGAGGGGGCAAGGAGGCTTTACCACCCTCTGACCTTGAGGCTGTCAGTGCAGGTCAAGGTCTCCGAGCGAGGCGCATTCCTGTGGCCTGTGCTGGAGCTTAATGGACCATTTCAGCCCCTAGCACGGAGGTTCCCYGGCACCAATGTGCCTGTGCCAGGGATCGCCGCAGAATTGCCACTAGATGGGAGATTAGCGAGGGCATTGTCTTGCCGGCCGTTGGCCCTGCACCCTTTTCCCACCCTTGGTTTATGTGCAGACAGCGCCGCCAGGCACGACAGCCCCACGGCGGGACCTACGCAGAGCCGCCGCCACGGGGCGGACCCCGCTCGCGCCCCAGGCTCACGCCATGGCACCTGCTGCTGCCCAGGGATGGAGGGCAGACGGAGCTGGCRCTGCCGACGCTCTGCAATCCACCACGGGAATCCGTGGCCCCGGGAAGTCCCCGGCGCGTGGGCCACGCTTGGATTCCTTTCAACGGGCAGGTAGTTTTATGGCCACGAATGACATTTGCGGTGATGTTTGCCAAAGCGAGGGCAGAGCACGTGTTCCCAGGGGGGCAGCCAACAGCCCWAGGGCTTGGGGAGGAACTTGTCCTCCCACCTTCCCCACCATTGCACTGGGCACCCGGTGGGGCCTGGCCTGGGCAGTGCCACCCCACAGAGGGATGTCGGGGTCAGGGCGCCGAGTCCAAGCCCTGCGGTGCCCCAGCCCACCGGAGGCGCCTGGCCAGACCCGGCCCAGCTGGGGGCGGCAGGGCTGGTGCCCGGGAGCGGCGGGCGGGCGGGCAGGGAGCGGCGAGGCCGGCGCCGGGCACCTGCCCCGACCTGGGGTTTCATCACCCGAGCGCCGCCCCGCCTCCCGCGCGGCCCATAAAGGCCGGCGGCGGCGCGGCCGACACCCACAGCGACAGGGCAGCGCCGCCGCCACTGCCACTGCCTGCTGCTCCCGCTGCTCCCGCTGCTCCCGCCGCTCCACGCCGCAGGCACCATGGACGCCAGCTGCCTGCGGGCTCGCAGCCTCCTGCTCTTCCTTGGTAAGTGCTGCCACAGCCCCCTGGGCACAGGCGGCTCCCCGGCAGTGCCACCACCGCCAGGTCTGTGCTGCCACCTGCCCTCTCCTGCTGGCACCGCTGCCCGGCCGGGACAGGGTGGGATGCGGCAGCTGGTGGGGCAGAGCCCTGCTCGTGGGGCTCGTGGGCTGGGGCACTTGCTTCTTGCTGGAAAGTGGCCTGCCAAAGGTAGGGCTAAGTTTGTCTTCAGGTGAAGGTGACGCATTCCTTCCCTGGCACGAGGGCCTGGGCAGCAATGGGTGTACCTGGGCGGCTGTGTGACAGGAGGAGTGGAGCACGTGGGTTTCGCTCTCAGCTTGGTGTGCACAAGTAGGACATGTCATTGCTTGTTCTGTGCTCAGGCTTGACCCCTCCATGAATGAAAGTGAACATCCCCTTTCTCTCCAGCAGCACAGCTTGGTGCAGGCACCAGGGTCTGTTCTCTGTCACATTGTCCTGAGCTGTCCGTAGTCCGGTCCTGCAGCTTTCACCCAGACCATGCTCTGGGTGAGCTCAGCAGGTAAATCCCCACAGTAGGAGAGATTTCCTTCTGGAAACAAAACAGGTTCACAGCCTCTCTTTGCTTGACACTTCTCCACTTCCTCGCTGGGAGTGCGTGACTTCATTGCATCAACAGAAGCTGCCTGAAAGTCTGAAGTGTGTGTTGTGTTAAATATAAGTGTGTTGTTAAGCCAGGAGCCTAAGGACGCTGTGAAGCAATGACTGATCCTTGCCTTGCAGCTCTGCTGGGTGCTGGTAGTGACACACAGTGAGTGCTGATAGCTGACTCTGTCAGGTGACTTCAGCTGCGTGGCACGGAGCATCGGAGCCAGGGCTGGTCCTGGAGCACTCACCCAGGCTAGCGTAACAGCGAGCTGTGTTCTCCCATCTGCTGGGCTGGGCTCAGCATCTCAGCCCACAGGAACCTGGTACCAAGCCCTCTCTTTTGGGGCAGATGTTCCCTGTCTGCTAAGTCCCCTTCAACAGGAGTCCCTGCCTGTCATCTTGGCCAGGTATTTCTGCAGTAGCTCACTGGCCAGACACTGCACAGCAGCTTAGTGGCAGGGACAGCGGGTTAAACATCTCGTAGCCTGTGAGTCAGACATGCTTGCACAAAGCTGTCCGTGAAAAGAACTGGTAGGGCTTTGTGGATTTGAGATGGATTTATGTATTTCCGGGGCAGGCATAAAATGTAAGAGACAGATTAGTCATAACTAGATGGCCTCATGGATACCGGTGCTAGGGCTTCCTTTTCCTCCCAGATCAGTAGTCTTGGCAGAACAAGGCAGAAAGGCTTAGAGGGGAGAGAACTGTCACCGAGAAGCTGTGGTCCAATGCAGGCCTCAAGGAGAATGTGAGTGATGGAGCCAGGCCCAGCTCCTGCTCCTTCCATGGCTTAGTGAGGAAGCTCTAGGCAAGAACTGGTCCTGGTCTCCAACCTGTTACTTTAAAGCAGTTATTTTAAAACTGCTCTAGTGGGGAAAACAGGGCTTCCTCCCTCCCTGGAGCTCCATACGCGCTGGGAGCTGTCAGCTGCCAAACTTCCCCTGTCAAGTTTACTTTGGCTAAAGGCAAGTGGGCTGAACATCAAGGTTACTAAGCCTGGAGATAGGGAACTTCTCAGTGGCTGAGATGTCTGAGCACTGGCGGTGAGTTTCTGCTGCTTTGGTGGTGCAGACACCTCTCCCTTTCTACTGCGGAGCTAGCCCCGCTGCGTGCAATGGAGGGCAGAGGGATTTGGGCATAGGAACAGAGGCAGTATGTGACTAGGATATCTGGGGCAGATGTCCCCATCCATAGGGGTGGAAGTAGTGCTGAGATGACGAAGTCTGCAGTTCTCAAGATATGAGTACAAAATGTAAGATGGGCAAACCTGGATATTGCTCCTAGAAGCAAGTAGGAACATTGCTGTCCTGCTACCCGAAAGGTAGCTGATTGGAGCCTCTTTCAGCGCCCTCACTCCTCGTGTCTCCAGTTAGAGCATAGGCCAAACATACAGAGATCACAGTATAGCTGGCAGGGACTAGAAAGGCCTCAGAGCATCTCCTTTGGCGTGGATGACAAGAGCAACTTGCACATCTTGCATAGCTCATCCTCAGAACAGGAGTGTCAGGCACCCACTTGGCTTGGCATAACCCTGGGACCAGCAGCAGGTCCATCCCGCCTGAAGCCACGTGTTACATGCCAAGGGAAGAATGGGCAGAGGCAGCTAAAATGACCCTGAAAAGCCACTTGCCCTTTCCCAGGAAACATGCTCGTCCTGCATCCGTGAGCTGGACTGCAGAGATGCTGTGGTTGATGCAGGCGAGGGAGCTAGTTGCACAGCCAAATCCTGAAGAAAATCCATTGAGGGAGGCTTTACGAAGCAGCCCTGCTTTCCTAAAAGTGCTCCTGATGCAGAACACAGCCACCCTCCCCGCCTCTCGTACTGCCCGAAATGCTCGTTCTGCCTGAGGTGGCCTTCAAAGAGCTGTGGTCTGTCGCATGGCTAGCTAGGGAGCCTAGTATCCAAGAGACAGTGAAAGAGATGCGCTAGAGTTAAGCAGTGCTAGCAGTGAGGACAGTCAGACATGTCCTGGATGCCTGAAATCATGTGTAGGGGATCCACACTGAGTTCAAGTTACACATAGTCATCTGGACACTGTGTAGCTGCTCCCTCTGTAGCGCAGGGGCCACAGAGATGCCAAATGCAAACTGCCAGCAGGGATTTTTCTTTAGGTAAACTATGTTCAGGTCTGTAACTAGGGGTATGTAACTAGGGGTTCCAGGGAAAGGGAAAGCCAGCTCAAATGATGATAGAACCCGAGACCCCTCATACTGCAACAACCCCTCCAAATTGGCCTTTAAAGTTAATGTAAAACTTGCCAGGTGACTAGTTCTCAGTTGCATACATCCCGAGTGCATCTCCCTTATCTTTCGTTCTTCACACTCTTCTTGTAACTGGAAACAGTAGCTGGCCTTGCATGACTAGAGTGGTAATTAGCTGTTGTGTCATCTCTGATGACGGATGCAGGAAGCCAAGGCAACCAGTTGAGCTTCTTCTTTTCCTGCTCTCCTCTGTGGAAGTACCAGCAAGCAGCAGCACTGCTATTCCAGCAAAGCAGCTGTTGCTGTCAGTGTTTGCCAGCTGTACTGCCTGTCACAGTGCTGCCCCTGCACGCTGGCACTACAGCTCTAGGTGAGAATTTGCCTTCCTGCGAGGCATTAACTCTAGCCACCATCTCCTGAGTGTTATCTCGTACTCCACAGAGTATTTGCTTAGTGAACAGTGAAGGAACACAGGAGTAACTGCCTCTCCTAGGGCCTGTGTTTGATCTACATCGTTTGATAGCCACGCAGGGAAAGGTTGTCCTTGCTGTTGCACAGTGTGGATCCCTTATCCTCYCTGGGGATCCCCCTCCCACTGACGTCAGAGGAGAAATATGTGCATGGGGGAAAGGGCAGGATAGAGCAGTGCAGAGCAGGAAGAACTTTGCCCGAATGCAGACAAGACTTCTGGGTGTCAGCAAATATCCACACCTGCAATCTTGGCCTTGCTGTGTTTGGCCTGTGTGCCCGCAGCCAGGCAAAGGAACCTGTCCTTTGTTGTGTGTGGGTGAAATGGGGCAAGTCTTAGTTGAGCTGTGCATGAGGTGAGGTATTTTAATCTGGTCTGTACAGGTGTCTGAATTGTGGCATTTCCCCTTTAAGGACAGCGCCAGGTGGAAACTGGTGCMTGTTTGGGGAGCAAAGATAGGAGATAACCTATCTGGGCTTAAGTTTCTTAAGGATAAAAGCCTTGTGCTAATAGTTCTTAAACTAAGAACTTGTGACCAGAAAATTGGCCAAATTGKACTCGGGTTAAGGAGGTAGCAGGCCAAAACCAAGGTATGTTGGACAGAAGAGATCTTAATTTATYTTCTTTCACCTGCTTAATAAAGAACAGTAGGATTAGATGTCTCTGAAACATCCAGTATGTTTTGGCTTGATTTCTGTTCCTTGYAGACTTGTGGGCCCCCGACCAAATTCTGCCTTAGTCTATGAATGGAGGTGTAGTATGTAGGGAACAGGAGGGAGGCTTGAGCTACTGACTTTCATGGGCTTCAGGACTGCAGTATCCCTTCTTCATAAACACTGTGTTATTCAAAGTGTCAGAGCTGTTGCATCCTACAGCTGCTSTCCAAGCTGCTAGGGGAGCAGCTTGGTCAGCAGAGCACTTCCGAGAAGCCCTTCTGGTTTCTGGGAAGTGGGGCTGACGYAGTGAATTTTCTCTGCACAGTGTCCATTGGGGCAGTAGGTCCCTGACCAAAGCTTAGAGCCTGCAGTTGCAGAGCAGTAGCTGAGCTGCAACATCCATTAGCTGGTGGCCTCATCCCAACTTTCYTTTGTGATGGTCCAGCTGGTTGTGGAGCTGTGTGTCACTACTGCCTATGGCAGAGTCTGCAGTGAATGCAAAGTGCCATGAGAAATCCCACCCTGAAAGTAAACTCGYTGGTCCTGCCCCATAGCAGTGAAAGGCAGGTCTTGCTGAGTCATCTGAGCAGAAGCAAATGTCTGACTTCTGGTCTCCTTTCCAGAGCCAAAATTCCTGTGTCATTGCTGCCTTACTGTGGTCGTCCCTTTGGCAAACCTAGGCTCAGTGCTTTTTTCTAAAGCTCAATAGAAACCTGAGTTACTGGCTTTGCAGGAAACATGGTGAAGAGGGGGGAAAGGGAAAGGAATTGTGCTTGAAGGACAAAACTTGTCCCTTTGAGAAGGATATTCTTGCGATTCTTGTATCTAACTGGAAGCCTTATTAATCAGCCAGGAATGGATGAGCTGCAGGAAGTCCATAAATCACTACTAGATTTAACACCAAGATGTAATGAAACTTTCTAATAACCACCGTTGAATTAGAGTGATAAAGAAATTATGAAGGCACACTCCCTCCATTAAGGATGCATGACCTGACATGCTAATAGAGGCAAACAGCCCAAAGACACAAATTACAGACTTCAGTGGAATGGGGCTGATGACTAAACAGTTCAGGAGCAGGTTAGTTTGTGGCCACGGCAGGAGTGTCAGCCAAGTGGATCTCCTGGCCAGCTGGAACAAACACGAGCTGTTCCCCATGGGGTAGCCAGGAAGCTGCAGACACTGGTGACTGGCTTGCAGTCCTGCTTGGAAGTGCTCCCTCATGGAGCAGGATGTCTGCAAGCTCTGCCTGAGCCAGAGCTCACACCCTGAAACACATGAGCGTGCTGTGAACGCTGAATGTCTGGGAGAGGGTCTCCTTGCTCCTCAGCGTAATGCAGCTGGCGCTCTGGGCACCAAGAGCCTCATCTTTCATGTTGCAGTCCCCTAACGCTACTGGTGCCTGTTGTCAAACCAGCTAAGCTGTGGTCTTCATGGATGGATCAGGAATGAAAGAAGGGTTGCTGTTGTCTCCTGGAGCTGAGATGGGCAACGCTTGTTTGGGATCTCTAAACTGGACAGTGCTTCTGAGAGCCGGTGACTACACACAGAGGCCTTGGTGCCTCACCTAAGCTCTCAGTGCAAGTGCACATTTAGCTGAGCAAATCTGAGTGAGAGAGGGCTTCAGTGCAGGGACTGGCCAGCCTTCCAAACTGGTTACAGCAAGTGGAGGGCTGAGCACAAGCAGCTTTTATGTAAAGCTTTCCCAGATCTCAAGCTGCTCCCTACAGCCACTGCGAGCAACTGAACCCGGCTCAGCTCTGGCCCAGCGCACTGAGCTGCCAACCATGCTGACCTGCTGAGTTCCAGGAAATCATTCCCCTGCCCTGGCACTGCTCTTGATCTGTGTTTTGGCTTTGATCACAAAAACTCTTCCTTCAACGAGTAGAAGATTGCCATACCTAATTGTGAGACCCTAGCTGAGTCCCTTGTGGGGGTGCTCTGTTAGGCTATGGATTCTGAGTTTGGGCAGAGTTGGAGMAAATTCTGCTGCTTCTTGACCTGTGCAATCTGTCAAAGGCCATTCCTATCGAGCCTCACTCTGAGCGTTGGTAAGAGGTGGTCATAGACATGGAGTTCCTATTTCATTTCTGTTGCATATTTACATACATGAGTTTACAAACATGAGTTTGCATTTCAGAGATTATTCTTTTGGGTTGCTTGATATGATAGAGGCAGCAGATCTGATAACTGTATATTTTTTTCAGCTTCCACTTGGTTTTGTATTAAGGTAGAAAGCTTCTGTTCTTCTGTTATTAACTTGTAAGGCTAGACTACCTGGAATAGAGAGCTACACTTATCAAGATCTCATTTTGACCTTTATTTTTATTCTCCTGTAGGTTATGTACTGCAAGCAGTCCTGGGCACAACAGTGATTCCACTATGTGCGCCTGGTGAAATGGACAACTGCACAACAGCACTAAGTAAGGATACTGTACTGCTCTCTTTGCAAAGAACAAGTCTTTGGTTCCCATCTTTCCTGGGCTGGCAACCTCACTGTGGTGCCCTGGAAAAGAGCTTTCACTGTAAGAATAAGTTACAGTTCAGCCACACACTTCCAACATYCTGCAAAGTATTTGCTGTTGTTGCACAACAGCAGATTTCCTTTAGTATTGTTTCTTTTGCAGAAGACCTGTGTCTTAGATGAGAAAACTGCTTTAAAAGCAGGAGCTTCTGTGAAACTCCTCAGAGAAGAGTCAGTGTAATTCTAGCCTGGGAAAATCTTCCCCCCATTCAAAAAGCTTGCCTATCACAATGCCTACATCACTGGAGGTTTGCTGGCATCTAGGCTGCTAGCTGTGCTGGTTGAGCAGTGCTTGGGAAGCACAAGGGCAGAAGGCAGCTGCTGAGATGCTAACCAGCTCTCTTTACAGTTCAGACAGAGAACAGTCCTCGTGTGGCTCAAGTTGGGATAACCAGATGCAAGCCTGAAATGAAGGACTACTGCTTCCACGGACAGTGCGTGTACATAGTGGACTTGGACGAGCACTACTGCAGGTACAGACAGAATACAGTGTCTCTGGTTAAAATGAGCTCCTGAACCGGGCTTGGCTTTGATCTCCTTGATACTGAGGCTTAGCTGGAACAGCAATCCAGCAAGCACTTTAAATTTTCACGAGGAATTAAACAGGAGCAGTATATCTATAACAGATCTTGGGTGGATTTAAGCAGGTTAACRTTAAGCACATGTGCTGGCTGTAGTGGAACTTGTGCGGGAGTCAGGACTTCTGAAAATAGTCACCCAGCCACACTCATTCTGATGTACCTCCCATTGTTCATCTGTATTTACAACAGTGTGAGATCCAGAGCTCAGACAAAGTGACAGGATCTCTCCTTTGATTCACTTTATGAAGTAAAAATTCTTCAAGAATAGGCTTATTCAAGCGTATTCCTCCCTTGAAGCATTTATCTCCATTTCCAGCACCATATGGATTTCAGATATCCCARGTCATGTTGCTTGCCCCTCAGGAAATAGCAGGACAGTGTGGTAGGATAGCCCTAAGAGTTCTGTAAAAGTGCTATATTGTATCACTACGACAATGTCTCTAACTCTGCTCTCTTCTGCTCAGGTGTGATGTTGGCTTCTCTGGTGTCCGGTGTGTGCACTCAGAGCTTGTCAGGCAGCCCCTCAGTAAGGAGTATGTGGCGTTGACAGTAATCCTAATTCTGCTTTTCCTCGTCGCCGCCTCCATTGCAAGCTACTACATCTGCAAAAGGTAAGAGCCCCTTCAGAGCTCAGGAAGGCAGGTCAGTTGTGTGTCATATGTCCACTGAGGACCTCCAGTTAGATGGGGTTATCCACACTCGCTCGATTGCATGGAGATGAGTTTGTTATCCAGGCCTGCTGGTCTGCGCTCAGTGAAGTGATCCASAAAGCAGTGTGCTTGGAGCAGACCTCAAGCTGAGGCTTACATCATGCCTAGGTTCCTCTGCCCCCAGGTGTCCTTGGACTCTGTCGGAGGTTACCTTCTTGCCATCATACAGGGTATGTCTCGAGGGCTGYCATCTTGAGGTAATGGAGAAGGAAGGCATAGAATAGGAAAACTAGTTCCTTCTCTTGCTAATGCCATTTTCCCAGTCAGCAGGAACTGGAAAACAAGTGGGTGAATAGGTAAATTGCTTATCTGCTGTATTACTGTGGTGACTAAGCCATATTGCTAGCATTTCCTTACCAGCCTTACCAAGGAGGCAGCAGTCTTCGGCATTAACAGACCCTAGAGCAGCAAGAATCATTGTAAGCTGCTGTCAAAGAGCCAAGAAGATGAAACACCTCAGCTTATTTTCCCACAAGCTGGGAAAGCTCAACTTCACAGATCCAATAGCTAGACAGTAACTGCCTCAACTCCTCTTCCCTACCTGAAGACTCCATGAAATGTCATCTCAGAACAGAAGATGGCCTAGTTTGTTAGTGTATTCAGCCTTGTTAAAAGGAAAGACTCAGCAGGATTTCTCAAAGACAAATCAGCCACCTGCAGCAAGACTTTAATGCAGATGTGGAGTATTCAGTGAAGAGCTGAGACACTCTCCATGCAAGTCATCCCAGAGCCCAGAAATGAGAGCAGAGAGAGAGCCTAGCTGCTAGAGTTAAAACAAAGACAAGAAGGTTATATAGACTTTCTTTTTCATCCTTTCCCCTGCCCACTCCCCAGAAAACCCTCTGGGATGACTGACTTTGTAGAACTCACACCTCTCTCTGCATCTTCCAGGTACCGAAACAAGAAGAGACAAGTGAACACCAGTGAATACAAGGAAGTTGGTACCCTGTAGGAGAATCTGTGGCTTCGTACGGTGTTCTGTCCATCTGAACAAACTCCGTGGCTTCACTTCTATTTAAATGTTATTTTTATTTACAATATTTACAATATTTATGTTCTCTTAAAAATTTCAATTGTTTGGTGATCCAATCAGTATAGGTCAAGCATTTTATTTTCAGTGTTTTATTTTTTTATTTAATGGTATTTCTCAATGAGAATCCTACATTAAGTGGCTCTGTGGGATAGAGATATATTTTTGTAACTGTGTCTTCTTGCCAGTACTACCTGGCTCAGACTCTGAAGAGTAATTTTGTATTTATTCTTGTGAATATGCAGAAAACAATTTTACTTCTTGAAATAAATGTTCTAGACCAAGTGAAAATGTCTGTGTGATCTATTCAATGTGCAAGTCGCATTTGGCATGGCTGAGCAGGACGTTTCAAGTCCCAGTAGTTAATTTGGGACAGAGAAAACAAGTATCATATTATCTCTAGTAATATGCACCAATACATCTCCGTTCCAGTGAGCACAGATATTAGCTGGCCTACTTTGAGGAAGACTTAAAGGAGCAATGCAGCTGCGAGCTCAGTATGGCCTAAAATGTGCTAGGAGTCAGCACTACAGATCTCAACTCATCCTTAAAGTGAGTAAGGAGTCATATCTTAGATTACAGCAGGAAAGTGGAAGTACAAGTTGATCATTCTCTGCACTGACAGGTGGCAACACAGGGTATAAGCAGCTATAGGGGAATCGAGCAGCTACAGGAAAATCTACCAGCTGACAACAAGAAAGCTCTCTCAGAAAGCGTAGCAGCACTCCATTCCTTCACCTCATTTTCCCTCTGTTTGTGCCTCTTGTGACTCTGTTGAGAGGAACTTGGAAGCATATTAATTGTTAATCAGAAGCAAGTCAAGCAAAGCAATCTAGCTGTCATCATGTGAATGAGGAGCCATGTTTTTCTACTTGACAATTCAGAAACCTTAAGCATTTAATATAGATACTTCACTGGATTAAAGCAGCGATAGAACAGTGTCTGGATTGTCCATATTAATCCCATTACATCTCACACTTCAAGAGAATTCAAGAAAAGCACCATGCTTGCCATTCCTTGTGTTTGCCAGAGTTTAGTGCTTGTCTACATTGGCCTGAATTGCTGGATGTGCCTGGGTAGAAAACCTGTGATCTCTTAGCCCGTGCAGTAGCATCTTGGTAGGAAGAGTGGTGGGATCCAGAACTTGGCAAGTGAAAGTGCTATTGCAGAAGCTCTGTGTCTGTGAGGTGAATTCATCTTGGGTAGTGTATTGCAAAAGCTGCCAGCTCAGTCAGTAGGGCTCCACATGGCATTGCATGGAGAAATAAATTGGCTCTTTCACACTCTCCTTAAAATTCAGACCTGTCTTCGGTGCTCTAGAGATCAAGCAAATGAAAGGGAGATTTTCCTCTCAAAAGTGATTTCCTTTGTTCTTCAGCTATGTGTCATCCTATAACAAATTTAAGATGAGATTGTAGATAGCAGTGCTCAAGTCATCCTTGCATCATCCTTGATAGCAAAGCTCGTATGTGACATGCCATGAGAAGGAACCCACAAGTTATTCCATGTGTACATACAGCAATCCGGGGAAAGGAGGCCAGCTCGTAATGCCAAGTCATTCAGCAAGAAGTGGCCTCTAGGAACCTCGCTGTTGATCTCAGTCTGGAAAACGGATGGATTATGATTGGGAATTGAGGAGAGTGGCCGCAAGGTGGAAAAGGTTTGTGCCAGTGCTCTGCCCCTGACAGGGTGGCCTGCGCCCCTTCCGCTGGAACAGATGAATCATGTGGAAGGAGAGCTCTGCCTCTTTCCTGGCTCGACACTCACTTCCTGACCTCGACTTACTTTCCCTGCTCTTTTCCTGTTGACAAGTACCAACCACAGCAAAGGAGCAATTAGGCAGAGTAGTGCTGTGGTGAAAAAGCTCTGCCCAGATTCTGCCACTTTTCATTGCACTTCTATCTTGAAGCTACCTGAACGGAGCAAGTGTGAGGTAATGGGGAGGAGGAACATCTGCTTAGCAAAACAAAGGTGTGATCAGAGCACGGACTGACATTACTCATGCTGGGTTTCTCCAGCAGTGCCATGCAGGAGGGGCAGGTGCCCCAGGCCCCTCCGTGTGAGCTCTGCCTGCAACAGTGCAGTCTGCTTGCAAGACTTTCTCTGCTGCTGTTTCCCCTGCTCCCGATAGATCTCGTACAGACCACTCTTGTGATCGCTCTCTGTGGCRGCTATATCAGCTTCTGAAATGCAACCATCTGCGTAATATCTGCCTGCCAAAAAGCTGCAGGTAAATCGAAGGCAATCTAGCCCCACGCAAACTGCGCAGTGCTTTGCTCATCCTCGCTTCCCAAATGGAAAGACTTGGCTAAGCCACATAACTCCAAGAAAAAAATCTCTTGGGTTCTGTATGGCTGTTTAGGGTTGGAAGAGACCACCTCTGCATTTCCTTAAGGCCACACAGAACCGGTCTGTGAGGGCTCACCTGGCAGCGTAGCACAGAGCAGCCCATGTTGATCTCCTCATGGATATCATGCTCATGTCTAGTTTTTGAAACACATGTTATCCCATAGGATTTACACTCTTTGTGCTTGATCTGTTGGTAGCTAGACTCAGAAGTCACCCGTACTACATTCTGCAATCTTGAGATGACTTCACTCATTTTTGGCATTACTACAGGCCAGTCCTCATCTAGCCCTCAGTATGGGACTGCCAGCRTTTTTGCCTGTGCCCAGGCGGTACAGTTCTTTCTCGGGCCTACCTCATGCTTTGTTCCTCCCTTTGTCATCCAACTAGAAGGATATGGTTGGTCATCACTGCTAACTGGGCTGTGTCACAAAGTCCTCATTAGCTTCTCTTTAGCTTTTCCCTTCCTCTCTCCTCCTGGCTAATCCAGTTGTCAGAGAGGAACCTGTTCTGCCAGGTGGCTGCTGGCTGCTAATGGCAACTCCAGCAACAGCCTCCGTGTTAGCACAGGCTTCCCCAGTGGGAAGATGGGGCAAAAAAATCRATTCTTGGAGCAATTTCCTGTTCTTGCAGTGAGCCAGTTAGGAACTGTGGTGACACTATCTTTGTTTCCCCCTCATGTTTCTGTTGAACACTCCAGCCTGTCTCTGTTTATCCTCCAGAAACTTTTCCTGGGCTCCATGGAGAGACTCAGCCCAGAGATATTCTTAACAGAGCTACGTTTTTCTCAAGCTCCCACGTCATGTCTTTTCTGCTCCTCTACTCTGTATTGTAAGAGCAAAAGGAAAGGGATATCAATCCTCTAAACTCACTTTCTGTCCATTTTCAAGTCGTGTATTGGGGTCCTATTAGCACTAGAGTCTGAAAGGCTTTAAATTGGATACTCTGTAGGTCTCCACAGATCTCTTGGCTGCTGGCCCTTGTGGACTTGAGAAGCTGTAGGAGCTGAAAATACTTCCTTCCTCTGCAGCAGGTGGATTCCACATAGCTATGACTGCAGTCACTGAGCTTTTTATTTGCATTAAGGGCAAAAACCTGAGGCTTATCATGCCTTTAGCTTTTTTGATCAGACAAGTCTGAGAACAATAATTCAGTTTCAGGCCTGAGTGCGATTTATTTTCTATCTTTCTTAATTCCAGCTGACTCTTTTGGTTTGGCTTGGGCTTTCCCTACCTATCCTGTTGCTCATCTCCCTCCCAGCCCATAACAGCTTTTCCAGACCCTATACTTTTCTCACTTCTGAACGTGATTGAGCAACTGGAAAGATTGGGGCCGCATACCAGCGCGCCACCTCAACGGCTGCGCTTCGCCGGCCGGCCCGGCAGGCCCGCGCTCGGCCCCGCTGACACGCCCGACACCTTGCCGCACYGAGCGAACCTCCCTCATTCCTCCCGCCGTTTTCGCAAGCCGCGGCTCTGTCCCCCTCGTGCTGCTCTTCCGCACCCACGCCGCCCGCTTCCACAGCCGCCTTTGGCTGCCTCTCTCTTCCCGACGGTGGGAGGGCCTGCAGCGTGCGTGGCCTCTGACGCTGGGCTGTGTGGGTCTTCCCTGTCCGGCGCCTTTACCTCACGTGCAGCTGAGACAGGGCCCTGCCAGGGAAGCTCTCTGGTGCCCCTGTCAAGCTCTAGCAAGAAACTAGACCTGTGAGGGGAACTAGACCTGTGAGGGGAACTAGACCTATGAGGGGAACTAGACCTGTGAGGAGAACTAGATCTATGGGAAGACCCCACCGGGTACTGTACTCATCTACGTTCTCGGTGCTGTCAAGCTATCAGTGTGTGGTTGTTCCTCATGGCTCTGAGGGTGGCTAGAACTGCAGGCTGCCTCCTGCCTTTCTCAGTCCCTGCTCTGCTGCAGCCCATTCACCAGCAGCACCAAGCAAGCACAGCTCCACGAGCCGAGGCACGGAGATTTCTGTTATGCATCTCCTAGGCCTGCCCAATCAGTAACCCTACTGTAACGTTCCTGCCMGCATCTCTGTGCGTTTGGTCTGCAGTGAAATCCATTGCAGCCTCTTGGGATGCAGGTAAAAGATGCTAGCGCTCAAGTCTTCAACTGCTCGACTGAGTAAGAAATGTCAACGCATTTTCTCTTAGTGTTCTGTGAGAGGACAGTGCTTTTTTGAGACAAAGTTTACAGTAATCTCAGTGAAATGCTATGCCTTTCTGCAAAATCCCCTCATGTTAGTATCTCCATTGACGACAACATACATAACATTTTTTTTTTTTTAAGTAAGGCATTAGAAGAAAAATCTTGCCGAAAGCAGCAGCCGCCCACAAAAGTGCAGAGACATCAGAATAGAAGTAGTTGCAGTAAATTAAGCCATTCATCACTTCGCCAGTTCTTGAGGGGCAAACTTTTCCAATGTTTGTTGTGTGTCAGCTSTTACCAAACTTGGCATTATTATCATTTCCACAATACAAGTGGCTGTCCACAAAGGTTCAAACCAGATCTTACTGCTAGCTGCCTTTTTCTAATGCTTTCTTCCTCGGTGGCCTACACAGCAGATGACACAGGAATGCGTTTTGCTTGAGAAGTTGACCTTTTTCCTATCCAGAGGCCATCTGCCTATTGCGTGCTTCATGCTAAGCACCCAGGGGTGCTTTGGCAATTCCAAGCCTCTGCAAGTCACGTGTTCCCCTCAGTACTTTTCCTTGGAGTGTGTCAACYGGCAACGCAATCCATTTGCTGAGAACTGAAGGAAGCCTCCATTACGATCTTGGGTTACATCATGGAGGTGGAGAACATTTTGTCAACTGATTCCAGTCCACATTTATGCAAATCTCAAATTGCACATTACATCTAGCGCCTCAGCT